ATGATTTTCATTGTATAATGATTTTCATAACTAACCCCGCGATTCGTAGAGCAATATATGACAATAAAAACGATATGGTATATTGACAGAATGAATGCATAATATTATGAATCGTCGTACGTAGACATCTTTTCACGTGCGGTGTCTCCCAATAAATTCAGGCCCTGTAAATGTTATTAGATGATATTTATTTACAAAATATGGTGTTTACTGTGAACACAGCGATGCGTAGGATAATATAGGACCCTAAAATCGATATATAGGCTGATTGAATGTGGAAAGTCTGAAATTCTATACGCAAATATCATTACATGTACCGTAACTCCGTACCGTTTCAAGCTAGATAAACAACATTAGACGATATCTATGTGCAAAATATTCTGTTTCTTGTTAAGCCCGCGATGCGTAGAATAATTCAAGACCGTTAAATCGACTTGATAAACTGACAGAATGGATGTGGAACATTTTTAATGATCATACGTAAACTTCATTTCACCAACCGAAAGTCCGTAATATTTCAGCATTGGTGAATAATATTAGATGATATTTATATACAAGAAAATGGAAAACACTGTGAACACCGCGATGTATAGAATAATATAAGACCATATAATCGATATGACATACTGACAGTATGAGCGTGGAAAATGTGCGACATACATATGTAAAACTCATTCCGTATGCAGGGAAGACGTCATATTTTAGGATAGGTAAATAGCAGTGAATTTTGTTTATGTAAAACAATGGTTTTCATTGAGAACCTGGAATGGCAGAACACGAAATGGACGATTATATTTCAGGCTAGATGAATAATATTAGATATACTCGTACAAAGAAATGGTGTTCATTGTGTACCCCGCAAAACGTAGGATAATACAGGACTGTAAAATTCACATGATATGTTAACAGAATGAATGTGGAAAGTTGTGAATGTGCATATGTAAACATAATTCTACTTACCTTTTGTCTCGAAAAATTTTATTAGATAATTTCTATGTACAAAGAAATCGTACTCATTGTGAAACCCGCCATGCGTAGAATGATATAAGACCACAAAACCGTTGTGGTATATCGACAGAATGAGTGTACAAAACATTCATATGTGAACGTCATTTGCATAACGGAACGTAATATTTCAAGCATGGTGAATAATTGCAGATGACTTTTTGTAGAAAAGAATGGTGTTTATTGTGAACACCGCTATGCGTAGAGCAATATGAGATCATGTGTTCGATATTATACATTGGCAGAATGAATGTGGAGAATTTTGAACGGTCAAATGTAAACCTCATTCCTCTACCGAACCTTGTAGTATTCCATGCTAGATAAATAATATTAGGTGACATTTTTTATGAACAAGAAATGTGTTTACTGTAAACGCCGTGATGCGTAGAGTAATATAAGAACATAAAATCTATCTATAAAAATCTATCTGTTATATTGACAGAATGAATGTGGAAAATTTTGAATTTTATTAAGTAAACCTCATTCCACGTACCGGAATTCCGTAACATTTCAGGTTCGATAATTAATATCAGCTGACGAATTGATTTATGCACAAAAGAATGACATATTCATATATAACGAATATAACAGACATAACGAATGACTAAAATATTGAATGGCCATCTGTAAGCCTCGAATATTACCGGAAGTCTGTAACATTTCGAGATCGATACATAATATCAGATCTTCGCTATATGTAACAAAATTCTATTCATTGTGATCTCCGCGATGCGTTGAATGAAGTTAAGTAATCAGATCGAGATATTGATATGGCAGAATTAATGTCGAAAATTTTGGATCATCATATATAAGAATCGAACCGTACCGGAGGACATTACTTCTTCAGGGTGGATAAATAATGTTATATTATTGTTATAAAATAAAAAAATTGTTGTCATTGTGATCACCGCGATGCGTAGATTAATATAAGAGCACCAAATCGAATAATACAGAATAATTGTTGAAATCTTTGACGTGTCATATGCAAGCGACGTACCAGAGGATAATAATACTTCGCGATCGATTTAATAAATAATGTCAGATTGTCATTACATATTAAAAAATTTTTTACATTGTAAATCCCAGTGTAAGTAGAATAACATCAGACCGTCAAATCAAGATTACATATTGACAGAATGAATGACGAATATTTTGAATGTCATTTGTAAGCCCCAAAACGTACCGGAGGACCGTAATATTTTGAGGTCAATGACAACCACTAGATCGTCTTTATGTATCAAAAAATTTGATTCATGGTTATACACTTGATGCGTAGAATAATATAAGGGCATCAGATTAAGATAAAATATAAATGCTGTGAATGCCGAGAATTTTCTATGAAAATATGTAAACTTCATTCCACATACCAGAATACCGTATCATTTCAGGATTGATAAATAATTTTGGACCGTTGTTATATATTAAAAAAC